CATATCTCCTCGCAAACTTTGACATTTTATCAAATTTTTTGTGGAGTCAAACACACTCGGTGGGTAATGTGGTTAGCATTACGCCGGCTGTCTTTACTTTCCCAGGACAGCCCATCCTGGTACCCATTTGAGGCTGGGTCGACCTGCAACGTCCCATACCATGATAAAAATCCACGCAGCCTGCAGTGGGTTTCGATCGCGGTACGTTGGATTACGAGTCAGACTCGCAACGCCTTAGCCACGGACGCCAGTCACCATCTTAGTGGACCGGAAAACAGACCTTGTTGTTGTGTTACTCATTGACAGACTCTGAAAAAAGCATGTGATTGTGCATGTCCCCCTCCCCCCTCCCCACACACACACAGTGAACTGTCTAGTTAAAGCTTGAGTTCGGTATATTTGTTTCTTGACGCTACTTCAACTGCAGTCCACTTATTTTCAATTGCATGAGTTGACTGAGATTAGAAGCTACATCACAGCACTCAAGACATTGCCAGTGGAAAGTTCCTATTCTGACAGCACCAGTAACCTTGTTACTGTAGAGTTTCAGTCAGCTCCCCTTCTTCCTCCCCGCTGCACCGTTCATCTCAGACTGATATTCTGACAGCACCAGTAACCTTGTTACTGTATAGTTTCAGTCAGCTCCCCTTCTCCCTCCCCGCTGCACCGTTCTTCTCAGACTGATATTCTGACAGCACCAGTAACCTTGTTACTGTATAGTTTCAGTCAGCTCCCCTTCTCCCTCCCCGCTGCACCGTTCTTCTCAGACTGATATTCTGACAGCACCAGTAACCTTGTTACTGTATAGTTTCAGTCAGCTTCCCTTCTCCCTCCCCGCTGCACCGTTCTTCTCAGACTGATATTCTATGTGTGCTTCCACTCACTTCCAAAAGGTCTTGACCCCCATCTAGCTTGTCATGCAACCATTTACCATCAAGCAGTGCAGTACCAGCCAATCTGTCCGTCTGTTCATTTCCCAACAAACCAGAATATCTGGAGAACAATTTCAACTACAGCAATCACCTGAGTTCCAGACATGTAAAATGGATGTGCACGCAAAACTCAGGTTCCGGAACAAGATTCAAGTCCAGACGTGAGTAATAAACCAGAACTTTCCACCAGAGTTTACAACAGGTGAACGCAAAGAAGTCCTACATGGGTCCATATAGAAGCAGAGAACAGCCCCACTGTATCCTCCCCAAATTAAAAGGCAACTACGGACAAGCTTTTAAACTGAGGCTAGCTACCCCACTCATTAAAAAAAGCATCAATCAGAAAATCTAGTCAACATGAAACTGGCATGTTGGCTGGCAGCCTATGCTCCACTGGGAGATAAATGACAGAATAGGTAGATTAAAATGACCTTAAAAAAAAATAAAATTACATGACATATTTGGCACATTTATGTGTACATAAACTGGTATATTTTACATTTATATATATATGTACAATTACACAAAAACTGTTTAAAACAAAAGCAACACACTTACCTGTCATTAAATCTTGTTGGGAGCAAGGTAATATACCCTTATTGTAAGTCAATCCAAGCCTTAAATAATCAGTAACATGCCGATGACTTTGCTTACCCTTCAGTATTTCACTTATTTATTCTATACCAATGTTTCTCAAACATTTCTTAGTCGTAGCACCTTTTTTCAATTGAAATTTTTCCACGGCGCCCTAACCTAAGTAAAAGTAAGAGGTTAAAAAAAAACTCAAGGGATCTTCGAATATTTTGCGGTGCCCCTTTAAAGAGGTTGCGGCTTCCCGGAGCGACGCAGGGCACAGTTTGGGAATCAATGTTTTATGCAATTAAAGGCACAGGTAACTTAGCTATACAGAGAGTAAGACATGCTTACCAGACATGCTGACTCAGCTAAACCATTCGGGGAGGGTCAAGGGGGCCTACATCTTGTTTAAATGGACATTAATAACAAAACATTTATTAATATTTTAAATATATTATTATTGCTCAATTAAACAAGGCTTAAACCATTTGAGGCTCCACCAAGAAATATATGGGAGCTTTGTTTGACTGCGCAATAAAAATAAAACATAACATTTATTATTATTTTTAATTTTATTACTGCACAATTAGACAAGGCTCAAACCTTCTGATGTCCCCACCAAGAAAGTTATTGACGAGGGGGTGGGCAATGAGGTTTTGTTTGGCTGCACAATAATAATAATAATAGTCATTATTTATATTACCTTTACTATTATTATTTTTGCTCTTCCTGTTATTTTTATTATTTCCTTACTGCTGCTATTATTATTATTATTATTATTTTTATTATGCTGAAAGGTAAATAAATATAATATTTCACTTCAATCAATTTGGCATGTAATTCAAGTATGTTATTATATTCAACACATTATTATTACTAATTTGCTAAATGGCAAATAACCGAGATATGTGGAGAGACATGAATGCTGATTTCATCCAACAAGACACATGATGATGCTGAGTGTGTCCACTAATACTTAGTATTTTCCCACCAATGAATATTTATAAATGCATTAATCTCGTTACTGTAACAACCAAATACTGCGGTTCTGTAATGTTCTCCAAGTACACAGGGCTGCACAACTGGCTAGAGAAAGAGAGACTTTCAGGTGTGCCGCGACGACAGCAATGTTCGGTAAAGGACCGGCTGATTGATGATGAGGATGTTTTCCATTCCATTCTTGAAGATCACACATACGGCAGAATGGCATACTATAGTTACCACTGAAATCGACATGATGTCTGCCTGGAGTGCTAGAGGTTCTGGATTCAACCCCTAGTAGGGGCTGGAATTTTTTCACGTGGACTTGGACTTCAATTAATTCCCCTGGTCTCTGGTAGTGAGATCGGACGCCCGTGTGCATTGTTGCGCACGTAAAAAATCCCTTGGCAGGTGGAAATCAAAAAGAGTAGCCCAACGGTGCTGCCTGGACAAAATTCTGAGTTGAAAATTTACTCAAAAGTATTTTCAGCAATCCTCACCGGTGCTACAGAGCACTCAAACTTGAGTTAGAAAAAGAATGGAGCCCTTATGGGTTAATACCCATGTGCCATGATGCTGATCTGTTGTTCAAACTTCAAACCTCACTGAAATCAGAATCGGGGTCTCTTGAGATCAGACCAGATCAAATGTCTTCTTTATCTTGAAAGCTGGATGCATCAGCAGCATTTTCTGTCTCTCAAAAGTGTCAGCGTCACTGGGGTCCATTCGGAGGTAAAGAATAACAATGTAACTTGCTATGCATGTCATAAGAGGCTACTTAGTTAATCAGTTAGTTGACAGATTATACTCACTGCATATCAAACCATTTAGTCCACAAGTGCTTGAATCTGCACCTCAATAAATCTTGCAGTATGTAGCAGCTGACGATACAAGTTCTGTTGGTTTCTTATTCTTCTCTAGCTTTCTGCATAATGTTCTTGTCTGGCTACACCCCTCTTTACTTGCTGTTCTTGCAGTCTGGTCATGATTGCAGATTCACAGTCATTTGATTCTAGCAAATCACTGAACTTCTCATACAGCATTCAGTATATCAGCATGGTCCACGGCTCATCCCCCCTCCCTTCACAGTAGCCTCACCTGCAAGCCTATCAGACTGTTCATATCCTTGCACACCTGCAATAGGCTGCTAACAATGGCTGAGATGGGACTCAAAAACTTCTTCTCTAAGAAACTTTAATTCCAGAATCCAACAGTTCATACAACAGCTTACCGTGAGCTAGCTGACAGACCATGCTCTACTGAGTTATGACAGGCAGAGGACCTGAGAGGACCTTGAATGTAAAGACCAATATTATCTTTCCAGTCCATCTTTAATGTGTGTTTTTTGTCCCTATTGAGACCACTGTCTTCTACTTCTGGTTTTCCTGCCCTTCTTTTGTCTTTTATCTCCTGATGGAGCACTTGGGTCATGTCATATTGTTAGTCGACTTCCAGTCAATATGGAGGACAGACAGGTTTACTGTTTTTAGTTGTAGCATGTTTTTGCTTCTGAAAATAGTTGGTTATTGCATCCCCTCCCCCCCCATATGTAGACTAAAAGAATATAGTTTCATTGCTCAGCTATTGAGTTCAGTGCATGGTGCAACACTGTGACCTAAAGATTTCATTTTGAATACTTTTTTACCATGCCCAGCGTGGTTTGTGTTGTGAACTGTAGATTCTGGAAATGGTGCCTGGCCTGTGGCCACAGAACTGGGGGTGCCTTATGATTAATTGGGTGTTTAACTACTGATCTAATTGTTGCTTCCAACAATTATAAACAGCACTGCTAGTGTCACTGTTTGTGTTGGCACTTCTGATGACTGCCTTAATTGTTTACTGTGTGTGTATGCTACTGGATTTGCTAGACTGCAGTCTGTGTAAATTTCTTTTCCATAAGGGGACAGTGATAGATATTCTGTGTTTTCTTCAGTAACAGGAACGGAGCAACTATGGAGCGACCCAGTTTGTTATGAAGTTGAATTGAAGCTGCGATTACCTGATTACCCACTAGTTTAGTCCCTTCACGTGTCTCCGAGGCAAAGTAGTCAAGCTGTTTACCTCGCACTCTGAAAGTCGTGGTTTCACTCCATGGCTGCGCCCTTCAGTTCACGAGTGCAATTTTTACAGAGATGCCTGGGGATCGTCACCTGAGATACGGAGTTCATGCATGGTGCTCTCGGCAGGTGGCTAGCTGTTCTGCGGAAAGAGACTATATGGGATAAAACCCAGTGCAATGAAGTCAATCTTCTCGACTTTAACCCTCAACCTTTATAGAGCAGAGATCATCAAATCACTCCTCCAAGTCCTCTTAAGACTAATGCACACTGGTTGAATATTGCAGTGACAGTTTTTTTTACAGGATGAGGCAGCTAATCTTACAACAACTCTCCTGTGTAGCCTCTTATGACATGCATGATAAGTTACAGTGTTACAAGTATTAGCTTCCCTTATGGGTCCCCGGTACCATGCTGATTTCTTGCTGGATTTTCTTCATTTTTCCCTTCGGAGCTAGGTACTTATTCTTTGTACATGAGCATGCAGATCTTTGCAGAAGTCCTCAATCACTTTCACCATGTTGGCATCAACCAACTTCTGTGGGAACCAGCCCTGAAAGAAAACAGGCAAACTAAAAACAATTATCAACCAAAACAGCATTAAATGTGTCTGGTCTGGTAGTCTTAGTTTCAGCTTCATAGCAAACGGGTCACCCCATCTTTGCTCCACTCCTGTGCCAACGAAAAACACACAGAATGTTTATCACAGTATTAGAATTGCAGTTCATCATTGATGGTAGCAGAAGTCGCCAACAGATCAGCAGCTGCCCATGCGATCAATTTTAATCACATACGGGCACCGCCAACACTGCACGACAGGCATCGCGCAATTTTTCTGAATCTACAATTCACACCAACACGTTGGTCACAGTCGAAAAAACATTCCAAATGCAATCCGCAGCTCACAGGGTCACGCCATGCATTCAACTCAGAAGCTGGGCGACCAAACTATATCCAGTCTACAAATAGAGCAAAAATGCATCGGCCACCGTCCGGCAGTAGCAAAACATTTGCCTCTGTTTCGAACAGTGCCGCTGCCTAACGTCCATTTTGACCGGAAGCTCATATGTGTTTTGAGAGCAATTAAATGTGTATTCACCATCAGTCTTTCACAAGCTGTCCCATCCCTTGCACTTTTCTACACAAGATGTCACTTATATCCTGTACCAATCTTTGTGCTGGTCAAGAAATCCTAAAAACAAGACAAGAACTCGAGTGTCAATCTGAGAGTAATTACAAGAAGAAGAAGATGAAAGCATTAAAAGTCTATGGTCAAATACTTGCAAGGAAATCAAGGTCTACGTTTTGAGAGCATGCATCTTCCCCGAAGCAACATACGGATGTGAGTCGTAGATAATCTCCCAGTCCTTAAAATAGAAAATGGGGGTTTTTGAGCTGAAATGCCACAGAAAGATTCTCACAAAACTATGGCCCAAGCAGGAAAGAAATACTGACACCTAGATCTGAACATCAAGGAAGTATTGGCTAATAAACAGCATCGTGACTCAGAAACTGAATAATTTTGGCCATATCAAGAACCACGGCGGTTCTGGAAAAAAATGACAGTGGGAGGCACAGTGCCAAAAAAAGAGGGGCAGGGGTCAACCAGCATGAAGATTAGCAGAGGAGATAAGTGTAGGAAAGCGCATGAGGCAGGAGAGCTGGCAAAAGACACAGATTAGGCAGGCAATGATAAGGATCAACCAGAATTGTTCTTCTCCATCTGTGGCTCAGGTGCTGCGAACATGCATGGGCAACATGTGATCTCTACAATACTGCCCAGGCATTGCGCCCTGAGGGAGCTGCCATTGTGTAGTGGCTAGATGCTCACTTGCAGATCCGAAGGTCATGGGTTCAGGTCCTGACAGAGCAGGACGATGGCTCCTAGGTCAAACCAGCCTTGAGTGGGTACTAGGTATAGTCCTGAGAAGTAAAGGCAGCCGGCGTGATGGTGACCAACCAAATGCCGATTGGTCTACAAAATACATTTAGCACTTAATGCTCAATATCCTATAGGTGTGGAAAGGGGTCCTTTGTGCTATGAAGGAGAAACTTCACCCTGGCCTTAACTGGCTGCATTGCCATGCTTCTCTATAACACAGTCAGCTGTTCACAGATACTGTCCTTGTAACTGACTCAATGAGCAGGCAGATAAGACTAGCCGGCTCCGCACCACTTGGTGGTGAACTGGTGTATGACAAGCTGGATGTTGTGAAAGCCCTTTGGGAGCAAGTGAAAAATGCAGAGGAACAGATAGATCATTAAGGTCTGAGGAGAATGGCAAGGAGTTACAAGGGGATCTGGTCGATGCTCGACACTCAGAGGAAGGGCGAGACGGATATACAGTCAGACAGTTACTGGTGCTATCGGAACTGGAACTCTTCGCTTGATGCTGAAGATGGGAACGGAGCACTTATGGAGGTGTCCCAAGTGATGTGATGTTGATTCTTAATTCAACATTGAACAACATTCTATAAAACAATACAATACCGCAACAGAAAAGTGCCAGCTGTCCCACAGTGCAATGCTGGAAAAGTGCCTGCTGTTCCACAGTGCAATGCTGGAAAAGTGGAAAAGTGCCAGCTGTCCCACAGTGCAATGCTGGAAAAGTGGAAAAGTGCTAGCTGTCCCACAGTGCAATGCTGGAAAAGTGGAAAAGTTCCAGCTGTCCCACAGTGCAATGCTGGAAAAGTGCCAGCTGTCCCACAGTGCAATGCTGGAAAAGTGCCTGCCCATACATAAAAACTTCCTGGCTTGCTATGAATCCTCCCAAAGACAAGTAGATAAACTTCTTCTTTTTCTTAACATTCACTGGCTGCAAGCTCTGGTAGAAGGATCTGGTTGTTCGTCAACTTCTTAACTTTGGTTTTGAGTTTTGAGTGGATATTCATTTTACAGATCTGGCTTATAAGTATGCAGACTGTTGGTTCCTTACTTCTCAGGCAGGTGTACTCCAATTGTGAAGGAAATACCCCTAATTAGTTGCCTTTTATGGCATGCTTGCTATGGGGAGCATGGGTCCTTTTGTTATTGTTATTATTGCTGTTGCAACAATAGGACCTTGGAACCCACAATGAGAATTGTTAACTTTAAAAAATGTTACTGAGAAATAAACAAACTGGCACTGAAAATGAAAATGGCAGTGAAAATTAAAAAAAACTGGTACTAAAAATACAACTGGCTATAAAAAATACACAAACTGTCACTGAAAATGAAATGGCCATGAAAAAACAAACAAACCTTGATGTCTGTGTTCATGTACCAAAAAAACAAAGTGCGTCTGCCATCTCCAGGAAATGGCTTGAACACCCAGCCCCCAACTCCATTTGTGCCTCTGAAAAACCAGAATGTTTTAAAAATATAATTGTTTTTAAATAAAAAGTAAATGTCAGCTTTACAGGACCAATGACAAAAGACAAACACATGATTTTTTGGCTAATAGCCTTTATCAGCAGAATGATAAGAAACAGAACAACACACACAAATCAACTGACATGGAAATAACCACATTACAGTATTCAAATATTATAGAAATGAAAATAATAAACTAATAATTAACAAAAGAATTAGATAAAGTATATAATACAGTTCAAAAATGAGATACTGAACCCAGAAAAGAAAAAAAAATCTACACATTTTTAACCTTTTCGCTGCTTTGTCTGTGTTAAGTCGTTTGCCTGTAGACTGCTATTGACTTTACTTCCCTGGCAGTTTCTGTGCCTGCAAACCTTTACGGAGAAATAAACACATTTTGACTGAAAATGCAGACTGCTAAGGAAATGAAACAAACTGGCACTAAAAATATAACCGGCTATGACATCACTTGTTAGTTAGGACAGAAAATTTTTTGCGGCGGTGAAAATGAGAACAAAGTCAACAAAATTTAAGAAACATGAAAATTTATAAACTAGTACAGACTTCATTGTTGGCCTTGAAAATCAGAGAGAACCTACTGGCACTTGTTATAAGGAGTCTATGACGTCATGTCAGTTTAACTGGCACTGCAAAGAATAGGCTGTGATGAAATCCGATGCAATCGAGATATTTTTAGAAAATCTTACGTGAGAACCTACCTAGTAAACAAGTTGAGACGTACTAGAATATTATAGAAGCATCTAAGCATAAATAGTGCGTGAGAAACCCTCAGAGGAATTCTTCAGTCCACAAGACTCAAGAGAGAAGGGACCAGTCATATGGACCCTAAAAGCAGCCTTCACTTGTAGAGATGTCAGCTCAACTCGGGGCATGCCTCCAGTCGTTGAGACTCAGAGGACGAGTGACTAGTCTCAATGATCCTCGCAGTTGTGGAGACGCCAGCTCAAGACTTAGAAGGAGAGGAGCCAGTCACATAGAGAGCCTCGAAGACAAACACTAGAGAGCAGACATGAAACAAGACATTGAGCTACAGAGACGATACATAAGATACATGGATCCATGGTTAACAGAGACACATTAGGTAGGAACACTATAGAGATGTTAGAGTCGACGATCAAGCCGTTAGTACCAGACAGCATTAGAAGCCAGGTGGCAGTTATAGACACTAGAACCAGAAAAAAAACAAACTAGAGATTTTTAACACAACGCTCTGCTACGAGTATTTAACCATAGAACACAGCGCTATTCAGAATATCATTGATGTATTTGTGACATTGTCGAAGTATCACAATAAATACAGTATAGACGAGAACTGTTGTTCCCAGCCATTTTTTTAAACAAGCATCAGGGTCACGTGAGAAGCATGCAGATAGCAAGACATCATCATCATCACCATCACTATCGACACAACCATCTTTCTCCTCGTCTATAATCTTCCAATCGACTCCTCCTGTAGCAAACATAAAGACAAACCTGGGTGTGACAACAACAATAGCAATAGCTGTGCTATAAGGAGTCAAAGGGCTTTGCTTTGAAATATTTCAAACACAAAACATTATTAACAATATTAAAAACTACATTTACAGATTTCAGAACCAATACCCAAATAAGACAAGAGACCAAGCAAGATGTTGTATCCAGTTTTAAAAGCAGCGAAGTCTTTACCATGGGCCTAACAAAAACCCAAGACATAAAGCAGGTGGCAACGAACTGGCAGACATGGAGAGCTATGACCTCTGCCCTATGCATAAGAAAAAAGACTAACTAACAAACTAACTATATATATATATATGATTATTGTAGTGTTTTGTCTTTGCTTTGTAGGAGTGTAGAGTTTCCTCTTGGTAAAGGGAGTTTTCTTGGCATTGCCATAGTGCATCTGATTTGTCAGCTCAGGGGCTAACCATCCACCTTTCTAGGGCTGATACTTATACGGGTTAAACAAAAAATAGCCAACATTGCTGACACATCTTTTGTTTTTGGAGGATTGAAAATAAAAAAAGCAGCCAATTTAATCTTCTGAGACAAAGTTATAGAAATGATATTATTAAACAGACTGTAGGAACAACACCATGCAGCAACATTCATGGGAAACAGAAGATAGACAGTTTTGTCATTTCATAAGAATGCAGCCAGAACAACTACCAATGGAGGCACTACACATGAAAAGATCTGAGGTTAAATCAAGAGGTCGCCCTAGGAGAACATGGACTGATGACATCAGAGAGCTCCTACATTAACATGGAATGACAATAGCCAATGCTGCCCATCAAGCAATAGATCACAAACTATTCCTTCCCACAACGCTTAATGACAGAAGTGGAAATTGATGATGATGATGACACACAAAAAACAGTATTCAGCATAAGTAAATGGGTCAGCACTGTCCTTATTTAACACAACTGTACATGCCTATTACAGGGTATGTAGAAGTGAAAGGGTTAAAATCAAAATATTCAAACATTTATCCATCAATGGAATGAATACTTAGGGGAAGGTCCCAGGTGCTATGATCCTGGTTCGTAACTTAACTCAGAGCTTGCATTCTTCCCTGTTTTGATCTTGGAGACTTTCCATGCGGGATTCGGGTCCCCCATTGTGGAGAAAATAAGAATAGACCACTGCCTACCCAACAAGTATGTCAGAGGAGTTGACTAACCTGGGGCCTCCTTTGAAGTCACAGTACATCTGCCTGAAAGGCAGGGAACCAACAGCCTGAATACAAATAAGCCAGATCTGTAAAATGGGTGTACACGTGCCACTTAGGATCTGAAGCAAGACTGAAGTTTGGAGGTGGATGAACAACAAGATCTTTTCACCAGAGTTTACAGCTGGTGAACGCAAATGAGAAGAATATCTTGGAGACAGGGAAGAGAGCACTGTAACAGTCTTCATCAATACAGTATGTGGTACCAGGCTTAGGACAGCCAGCGTGGCGTAGGCATGCTACTGACCACATCGTCCACAGTGAGCACTGACTGGTCTATACAAATATGGATCTAGCATAATATGCTCAATGTATCACCGGCTTGAACAGGGTTCTTTACTTGTTATAATTCATTCCTATAATTCATTGTGCAGAATGGATACCTGTGCCTCAGGCGTTTAATTGTGCATTTTCCTGTATTGTCACACTCAACAGGCGATGTAGAGAAGAGAATCCTGTTGCTGTTAATGCAGAGGTCAACGCTCTCATCGGTGAAAATTCAGACGAAGCAGATGCACTAATCTATACAGACGGATTATACGCCAAAGAAGAAGCGCATGGGCTTACAGCACGCTCAGCGGGCAGAACAGTCAAAGAAGCCAACGGCGCCTTCTCCATGACAACCAGCAGCATGACGATGGAGGTGATGGCAGTGACGCAGCGTTTGCCTGGCTCGGAAACACAAAAAATACACCCACACATGTATACTCAGTGATTCAATGAGTATGATCCGGAGGGTTCAGGCAGGTTCAGTGCGAAGACAATGGCTTGAATCACTTCAGAAGTCCACTGTGCGTGGATTCACCTTATATTTTTGTTGCCGGGACACGCAGGCGCCGATGGAAATAACTCTAATCACTACCGACTATGCTGAATTTCAATGCCCTCAGAGAAATGGGAAGGATAGAGGACTTTGGGCCAGTGAATCCACATCACTTGGCATATAAGCACCTGTGTACACCGGACACGTAAGACTATCAACTATAGAATGTGGTATCTTCGGACGTTGGAGTTCATAGGATCTCTATGGACATGTCTGGAGTGAGCAACTAACTAACTAACTACTAACTACCTATCTAACTAACAATATACTCACTAACTAATAACTAACTAACTACTAACTAACTAACTAATTCATTCCTTCCTTATGTGGGTAATGAACAGGCCTTCAGATTGGCTGGATCTGCACATTTTATGTCCTCTCTCACAGACATTTCCCACGAATGCATCCTATCTACCACCCCCTGAAATATATTTGACCTAACTGTTTTAGGTTATAAAGCACCTGTGTATTTTAATCTCTCTATCTTATAGCTATTTTAGTGTTGCCCAATTTTCCTATCACATTTTATGTCTAACATTCTCACAGACATTTATTCTCAAATGAATTCAACTTTTGTTTCATGATTTTAATTACTTATTTTTTATCATAATTCAAAAAATTTTGTTATTTGAAACATCAAATCTACTAACCTAACCACATTTTTCTGAGGTGGCATGCTGGGATGGGTGACTGCCATTCCTGACCCCATGAAGACCCCATTCTGACAGCCCCAGGTTCGTATACTGACAAAGTCCCGGTTGGCTATGACACCCCCACCAATCTCTGCAGAGACGTTGTAGACGATGTCTGTGTGGCTGTCGACCACCTGTAGGACCTGAATTTATCAAAGAAAATATTGCCAAATTAGCTGAAAGTCTTGGTTTCAAATCCACACACCAGAACTGATTTTGTTTTTTAAATAATTGACCCTGGCCCAAATTCGGCGTCTGCGTCTTAAGGGTTGTGGGTGCCATTCGTAACGCTAAGGTGTCGGGTTCAAACACAGCTGTGGGCTTTGTGCTGGTTTTGACAGTGGTATCGAGAAGCCGACTGTCCAGAAAGCAAAACAGCAAACTACTGGACGTAAACTTGCCTAGAAAAACCAGAACAGCCAAAAATTGCTGGGGTTGGTTCTGCAACATCCTGTAAAGGATACGCAACTAACTGACCTTGGCTCCAAGGTTGACCAAACCTAAAACGGGTACCAGGTAAAGACGGGTAAAGACAACACGGCGTGATGTTGACCACATAACCTAACAAGTGATGATTGGCTACAAAAATATGAGTTGAGAATTATGTGCCGATACCACTGGAGTACAAAAATGCCATTACTGCTTGCATTCCCCACTTTTTGTAGCGCAGGCAGGGGGAGCAGCAGCTCGCCAAACGGTTAACAGCACAAAGCTCTCATATGGGAGACCCATGTTTGAATCCTCCGGAAGGTAACTGATTATTTTTTTGTCGGAGGAAAGAAGAAAATCCTAACCTGCACTGCCTGTGGCGACAACACTAGCCATGTGGTCCGCAAACCTCAGGCTCAAGTTGCCACTCCCAGGTTTTTCCTGTTTTCAAGGCTGGTTACAAGCCCTAGACACAGAAATGTGGAAGCAACAACAAAGATAATCCAAATTCAAACAGACAGAACTTTGTGCTAAATCCTGCAACTTCTTCTGCTTTCTGTTTCTTCTTTTTTTCTTTCACCTTCAGATGTCAACTTAAATGTAGAGACTTTGGAACAAACATGACAAATGACTACCCATCACAGTGAAGTGACAATTTCTTCTGATTCTTCTTTTTTGTTCACTCTGCTAGAGGTTTTTGGTTGAATAAATTAATGAATGAACTTTATTCTCAAAGGGTCTGAAATTGGGCACCCATTTTACATCCGGCCCCTTCAAGCATTTCTCTCTTTCACACAACAACTGTATTCCATCTGGAAACATGTTATGTGATGGGAAGGCTTCAGACCTCTATGAAGGCTGTTGTGCAAATAATGTCCTCCACTGATCCATAAAACTTGACTTCCAACTAAATGCTAACTGACCAGACCTGGGATCACTCTACTGTAGAGCTATTTAACTAAGTTTACTCAGGGTCCAAATACTGAGAATGGAAATAGTCACGGACCAGAGGCCAAAGCCTCTAGTACAGAAAGATCATTAATACAATACAAGTGGCAAGGAACTACGGGCCACTTGATAGGCCTCCGTGGGCCAGATGTGGCCCGCAGGCTGCCAGTTGAATAGCCCTGCTCTTCTGCATGTAGAGAGCATGTGTGAAAAAGATGTCCAGTATTATGTGCTGTTTGTCCGCACGGGAAAAACTCTGAATCCCCAATCTTGAATTTCTTGAACATACGGCTGCAGAGTCTGTTGTGTCTAGTTCAAAATCTAAATACAATGGTTTGCTGGCAAAATTAATTTGTTCAGAATGATACTTCTTCTCCTGCTTAACTCTTCCATCTCTTCATCTTCTCTGTATATACTATTTTTTTCATACATTTTCAGGCGTCAACTTAAACTTAAGAAACTTTGGAATAAATGTAATATATGACTACCGAGGCAGTAAATGAATGAAGCACTAGAACAGAAAATAACTACCTGTTAAATGTGGTCTCTAGCAAAATAAGGAGGGGAAAGGGTTAGGAATAACAGCATGAGAGAAAAATACTGGAATAAGAATAAGACCATGTCTGGGTTCTACTGACAGGCAAAGAGTGAAATGGTTCAGCCATCTAGTGGGAATACAACCAGTCCAAACTGCATATGGATTTTTTTTTTTACAGTAGAACATCTGGGAGAAAGGTGAGGGAAAGACCAAGAAAGAGATGGATAACTTATGTAGTTGAAACCTGCAAAAAAATGAACAAACCCATCACCCAAGCAGCACAGGACAAACACAGAAAACCATGACACTGAGCTACAACCTGGCTATCAGCGAGATGACAAACCAAGAAGAAGAAGAAGAAGACAGTGAAGTGGAAAAAACAATGAAGATACTACAGGCCAATCGGCCACTTATTCCTTTGCCAATGAAAACAAAAATACTGAAAATATTTACCTTTGATGTCTGAATAGACGAATTCCAAAGATGATGTTCCTCTGGTTTAAACATCAACTCCTCAAAGAGGTCCTTGGGAGGCATGTTGACTACTGCCTACAAGTAAAGACACATCCAGATGATACAGTACCAGAATAAGTCAATAAGTAAATCACAAATGATTATGGGAGGGCAAGAAAATGTAGTTGGTAGTTTCTATAGGTGTCATTAGGTGACAGTCGCATCCGATTTTATGTCTCCATTTGTTAGGTGGCGCTAGGTCTTGCATGCACATTCGCAACACAGAAACAAAATAGTGACTGTACTTACATAGTGTACCATCAAAAAAACAATGTGCTGTTGTGGTTTTTTTCTTTGCGGGGGGGGGGGGGGGGGTGGGGGGTGGGGTGGGGTGGGGTGGGGTGGGGTGGGGGGGGGGGGTGGGGCGCAGCGCTGCCTATGGGAATGCTTCCTGTTTATCCCAAAGCGGGGTAAAATACATTTCTAAAAGACGCTCTAAAATTGTCGATAAAGTCCAATCTGGTCGTCCTGTTGAGATTGCAACAGACGCATCCATACAGCGGGTGGAGGAGATGATTAGAGGTGACAGGTGAGTAACGGTTGACTCTGTAGCAGCTGCAATAAGGTGCTCACATTGTTCAGCATACAACATAACGCATCATCGAGTCAAATTTCAGAAAGTGTGCTAAAGGTGGGTACCCACCAGAAACCTTTTTTCTTTTTTTTTTTTAACTGATTAAAAGCACACCTTGATGATCCAATTTAAAAAAAAAAAAGAAAAAAAGGTGCCAATGTAAATGCTGACTTAAACTGTAAGGTTCTATCGATGCTTGAGGATGCAATTCAAAGAAAACGCCCAGGCCTGCTGCCTGCTGACTAGAGGAGTACTGCTCCTTCAAGACAATGCCAGACCACATATGGTTTGGTTAACTCAGGAGAAAATTAACCATCTAGGGTGGGAACTTGTGGAGCATCCAGCTTACAGCCCCGACTTAGCCTCTAGTGATTTCCACTTTTTTTGGTCCACTGAAAACCCACAAATGATGCAAAAGTTGGATGTGAAGTGAAAATGTAGTTGCAAAACCGATCATGCAGTTCTATGCAGCAGGTTTGGGATGACTGATGAATTGATAGAACAAGTGCATCAATGTTGGTGAAAATTATGTTGAAAAATAAAGGGACAGTATATGTGCACACAGAAAAAAAAAAGGTTTTCAAGTTGTTACCGTCTTTAGTGGTTCTTTTTTTTAAACAACAATTTGTGGCTTACTTATTGACTTCCTTTTGTATTAGTACACCAAAAGTATTAATAGCAGAAACACATCAAGGAAAAGAACAATACAGTATTAATACTCATGTATTCATTGTAAAAGACTACTTACTGATGTGAGTTATGGATACTTAATCATTATAGAAAAAAACTGGAGCTTTTGAAATAAAAAACTGCAAAAAAATTCTCAGAATACCATGAACCAAGAAGAAGAAAAATACATGATCTAAGCATCAAGAATTGGCTCATAGGCAGCATCCTGACCCAAAAGCTAGAGTATTTTGGTCACGTTAAAAGCTATTATAGCCTGGAAAGAATGGTGATGGAAAACGAGGCAGACCTGCACGAAGGTGGATACAAGACAATGAAGATGTATTGGCTATGGAAGCACATAGGGCTGGAGAATTGGCTAGAGAAAGATAAACTTTCAAGCCTGCGATGAAGACAGCAATATGTTCTTTCTGTAAAAGACCTGCCGACTGATGATGAATTTAGCATTAGTCTGTGTTGTATTCCGATGATCGTTTTATAGCTGCAGAATGTATCTGCCCATGACTATGACACCGTGTAGCTGACTAGTTTTCCTTCTCAACTGGATTTATATTCTTTTAAAAATTTTTCCTTATTCCTTAAGTAAATCAGTGGCGGGGCTATTACTGTTGTCATCAATCATGCCTCTTATTCTGTGTTACCCTTCAGCTCAACAAAACTCACTGCCCCAATATCCTTGCATGCCTGTGTGTGCTTTTCCTAGGATATCATTTATTTCTCTAGCATAGGATCAATAATGGATGGACAAGAAAGATGGTCTTTTATTGACCTTTTCATACTCCACAGAAATGTCTTTTTATCCGGCCTCTGCAAAGGATAAATGCAAAAATAACTACTTCTGTCAAACTGTTTATTTTAGCACTTCTGATGGCTACCTTATGCTTTTAATGCGTGTGTATGCTAGTGCAAATGCTGAGACAGCAGTTTGTCAATCTTTCCACAAGGGACTGTGATGAACATTCTGTGTGTTTTTCGTTGGCACAGAAGTGGAGCAACTATGGGGTGACCTGTTTGCTATGAAGCTAAAACTAAGATTACCAAGAACTACTTCACACAAACCTTCCCTTACCTTCAGCCGGTAAACTTTTCCAACTCCTTTAATCCTCCGACTGTGAATTATTCCTCCAGTTTCCACTGAGTCTGACTCCAGTTTCCAGTCTGTCTCTGGACTATTCACGTATATCCATAGCACATCCCACGAATGTCTGGCAACTTTCACATAGTCATTGTCCTAAACAACCAAATCAATATTCACATATAAATGTCATAGCAATATTATACTGTAAAAATGAACAAACCATGACTGGATTATTTTGACAAAGAAACAATAAAATGCTTCAGCCATTTAGTGAGAATGCAGCCAGACCAAAATGAAATGGTTCAGCCATTTAGTGAGATTGCAGCCGGATCAAACTGCATATATAAGACTTTACACAGCAGACCATCTGGGAGGTAGGCGAGGGAAAGACCACGACATGGATAAATGGCTAAGCTGAAACCTTCACAGAGATGAACAAATCCACCACCTAAGCCACCAAAGAAGCACAAAACAAAAACAGAAAAACCATGACACTGGGCTACAACCAGGTATCAGTGAGACAACAAAACCATGACACTGGGCTACAACCAGGTATCAGTAAGACGACAAAACCATGACACTGGGCTACAACCAGGTATCAGTAAGACAACAAAACCATGACACTGGGCTACAACCAGGTATCAGTGAGACAACAAAACCATGACACTGGGCTACAACCAGGTATCAGTGAGACAACAAAACCATGACACTGGGCTACAACCAGGTATCAGTAAGACAACAAAACCATGACACTGGGCTACAACCAGGTATCAGTAAGACAACAAAACCATGACACTGGGCTACAACCAGGTATCAGTGAGACAACAAAACTATGACACTGGGCTACAACCAGGTATCAGTAAGACAACAAAACCATGACACTGGGCTACAACCAGGTATCAGTGAGACAACAAAACCATGACACTGGGCTACAACCAGGTATCATTGAGACGACAAAACCATGACACTGGGCTACAACCAGGTATCAGTGAGACGACAAAACCACGACACTGGGCTACAACCAGGTATCAGTGAGACGACAAAACCACGACACTGGGCTACAACCAGGTATCAGTGAGACGACAAAACCACGACACTGGGCTACAACCAGGTATCAGTGAGACGACAAAACCACGACACTGGGCTACAACCAGGTATCAGTGAGACGACAAAACTATGACACTGGGCTACAACCAGGTATCAGTGAGACGACAAAACCATGACACTGGGCTACAACCAGGTATCAGTGAGACGACAAAACCACGACACTGGGCTACAACCAGGTATCAGTGAGACGACAAAACTATGACACTGGGCTACAACCAGGTATCAGTGAGACGACAAAACCATGACACTGGGCTACAACCAGGTATCAGTGAGACGACAAAACTATGACACTGGGCTACAACCAGGTATCAGTGAGACGACAAAACCATGACACTGGGCTACAACCAGGTATCAGTGAGACGACAAAACCATGACACTGGGCTACAACCAGGTATCAGTGAGACGACAAAACCACGACACTGGGCTACAACCAGGTATCAGTGAGACGACAAAACCACGACACTGGGCTACAACCAGGTATCAGTGAGACGACAAAACTATGACACTGGGCTACAACCAGGTATCAGTGAGACAACAAAACTATGACACTGGGCTACAACCAGGTATCAGTGAGACGACAAAACTATGACACTGGGCTACAACCAGGTATCAGTGAGACGACAAAACTATGACACTGGGCTACAACCAGGTATCAGTGAGACGACAAAACCACGACACTGGGCTACAACCAGGTATCAGTGAGACGACAAAACCACGACACTGGGCTACAACCAGGTATCAGTGAGACGACAAAACCACGACACTGGGCTACAACCAGGTATCAGTGAGACGACAAAACCACGACACTGGGCTACAACCAGGTATCAGTGAGACGACAAAACCACGACACTGGGCTACAACCAGGTATCAGTGAGACGACAAAACTATGACACTGGGCTACAACCAGGTATCAGTGAGACGACAAAACCATGACACTGGGCTACAACCAGGTATCAGTGAGACGACAAAACTATGACACTGGGCTACAACCAGGTATCAGTGAGACAACAAAACCATGACACTGGGCTACAACCTGGTATCAGTGAGATGACAAAAGAAGAAGAAGAAGAATTTGGATAAGAAAGACATAAATAATCCACAGCACAATTTACCACCTGGTATATTTCACTGTGGGAGTTGCTATGGTGTAGTGGCTAGACATTTGCCTGCAGATCCAAAGGTTATGGGATCAAATCTGAGCAGAACCAGACTTATAAAAAAAATTACCTAGGCTCTTAGGTTGACTCAGCCTTAATGGGTACCAGGTAAAGTCCTGGGAAGTAAGCATGGTCTTAAAGAGGTTGAACAAATTACCAACCGAAGATCTATAAAATAGGCCCAACGCGTGAGTGCGTGGGTTAGTAAGTGAGTGAGTGGGTGGGTGAGTGAGAGAGTGAGTGGGTGGGTGAGTGAGTGAGTCAGTGAGTGAGTCATTGAGTGAGTGAGAGATGTTCAACTCTACCAGGACCGCACAAGTGATAAACACCCGCTGACTCAAAGTACCCCCATTCGGATGAGAATCACCCGGGCACAAATCTCAGAAACCCCATTCACCGTAAGGTTATATTAAGGCTTGCGATGACAGCGGAGGTGGGGCTTCAAAATAACAACATACAGAAAAACTGTGTCCCGGTTTCTTTCTTCCTTTTTTTTTTAACTTCTGAAGCGTGGAAAAGGGGTCCCTTTTATTTTACTGCTATCTCATCAGATGCATACTACAAGAACAATAAAATATAATGAAGCAAATTAGTGAAAATTTATAAATAAAGTACAAAATCAACAACACTCATTACCATATTTTTCTGTTAGCGCAAACCTTGATGAAAGAGAAGCCATAGCAATAATTCTCTTTCGCTTTCAATTAAGATTACAATCTACTGTGTCATCTGTGTTCAAATATCACTGAATATTTTCTTTCGGTGTTGGGTTTGGGGTCCCACTGTGGGGGAAAACAAGAACAGACCCACTGCCTCCCCAACAAGCATGTCATAGGAGTCAACTAATTGGGGGCTTCCTTTGAAGTCAGAGTACATCTGCCTGAGAGGCAAGGAACCAACAGTCTGTAACAAATGAGTCAGATCTTTAAAACAGATGTGCATGCATCACTCAGGACACAACTAGAGTCCAGAACTGGATGAACAACTAGAACTTTCCACCAGAGTTTAGAGCCAGTGAAGAAGAAGACAACTATCTTTACTTGCCAGGATTTTACCTGGTACCAATTTAAGCCTGGGTCAACCTGGATCATTTAATTTAAAAAATATATCAAACTAGAAAAGGATTCTTATCCAACAACTTTGGGTATATATATATATATCGCTGCAACTCCTTTTTTTTTTTTACTTTAACATTTTACAGAGATGAAATGCCTTAGAAGAGCTGCAGGAGTTTCAAGGTAGGACAGAATACGAAATCAGACGAATGCTAGGAATAAAGCCAGTCTTACAGGTCATCAAAGAACAACAAATAAAGTGGTTTGGACATCTAACAAGAATGCCCTGGTACTATCTGCCACAGCGAGCCACACTAAAATGTTACAACAGGTATAGAGCGAGAGGACAACTTCCAGAAAATATGGAGTGTTAGCCTTACAGAAATGAACATCAGTCTTAATAGTGCTCTTAACAGAGCTCATCAACGAATGTTACATCTGGCCCCAACACTTCATTGAGGAACAAGGTGGAAGAGAAGAAAAAGAAGAAGAACATTTTACAGGATGACGTAGCTGGCCCCAAGCAGAACCTCCTCCTCAGTCACCTCTTATGACATGCCAGGTAGGGTGCAGTGTCACTATCTGTGCTTCCTGAGCCCTGGTAAGAGAAGCAAGGAAACTAGCACACTGAAAAACTGTTAACTGTTTGTAGTGACCTCTTTTTAGGGTTGTGCAGACAGAAGGATTGTTAGCCTTTAGATTTAGGGCCACATATGTAGCGCTGTCACCATGAACTGTGCAGGTAAGCATGTAAAACCATTTAACCCAAATTAAAAATTCAAATTAAAGGTTTCAACAGAAAAAAAAGGAAACTTGCCTGACTAGCCAGTGAACGGGCTGCGCCAGCTTCGTTTTCATTGTCAGAACCTGGACAGAGATAGTGTGCAATGAAACTATAAATACATTAAACAAGAAATTAAATAGGCTTTGTTCGGAAAAATGTGGGTATAAATGGCTGAAATTCTTCTTTTTAGTCCTCTTCTTCTGCATTTATCCCCAAATTGAGCATAGGCCCTTAACCAACCCATGGTAAGTTATCCTATCTATTGCTATTGCATGCAGCTCTCCCCATGTCTTCTTCTTCTTCACTTCCTCTTTTACCGCTGTGGGTGTCGAGGGAGATATAAGGTTCTGTTTCTAGCTCTTCTGGCTGCCTCGACCATTGGCACATCGTGCTGTTGTAGAGTTTCTCTTATGTTATCCTTCCATCTTGTTCTTGGTCTACCCCGTGCTCTACGTCCTTCTTCTCTTTCCATGTATGCTTTGTATGGTATGGTGTCACAGGGCATTCTCTCTAAGTGGGCAAACCATTTCACTTGCTGTCTTTGTATGTAATCCAGAATTGGTTCTGTGCCGACTTGTTCTCTTGTGATCTCATTCCTGATCTTATCTCTTATGGTCACTCCTACGGCCCTTCTCAAACATCTCATTTCCGTGGTTACTAATTCTCTTTTATGGTTTTTATCCGCAGGTCATGAGTACAAATCCGCACAGTGCCGGATTTGTTTAAAACAAGACCTTGGCTTCCAGGTCGACCCAGCTTTAAATGGGTACCAGGTAAAATCCTGGGAAGTAAAGGAGGCCGGCAGGATGTTGGTCATATCACTCCTCGACATATGATTGTTCTATAAAAATATGAGTCTCAGTTTGCATGCCTGAAGAGACACTGACATGTAAAGGGTACTACTTTTTTTCTTAAATATTTTTGAAAATATGTTGTGAAGTTATTATAATTTTTTTTAAGTAAAAAAAAAATTTAAATATTTTAAAAACATTTTTTATAATATTTTTTAAAGTCATTTTTATGACATGCTTGATGGGTCAATGGTCAATTTTTTTCCCCCTCCATAAAAAAAAACAACAACCAAAAGCTGTTCTCCCGAACAGCTCACTGATTCAAAACCAGTCCAAAACCTGGTATCAAAACAAGATCACACAACCACAAAAGCCAGCCCATCAATATGTAAGGCACGGGGATTCTCTGCAAGTTAAATCAGGCATACACCAACATGTGCCAGTACACCAACATGTGCCCGTACACAAACATGTGCCTGTACACCAAATTGTGCCTGTACACCAAATTGTGCCTGTACACCAAATTGTGCCTACCTTCAGGTGAATCGAGTGGAGAGTAATACTGGTTGTCCTCTGTGATGACCGACTGAATATCGTCCCCCGGTGGGAAATGTACCCGGGGACTAATCAACGTTGAGCCATAGTCTGTGAACAGATACCTCAGATAAGCAAAATTTTATAACAAATATGGTCCCTAAATGCAACAGTTTCACTGACTCTGTTTCTCCAAAGGATAATATTACATAGTGTAATAGAGATATGCCAGAGTACATGCAGAGACCATGTGTTGGCCATGCATCGCAGTCCCTAGCTCAGCCTGCCTTGTCTGCACCAAAGAATATGTAACACCACTATGTTTGGAAACAAGCATGCTGCAAAAGCTGTCAGATCAGAACAGCAGCACTGTGTCTGTCCACCTGTCAAAGCTTTCCTCCTATACCAGCTGCCAACCAAATCGAAGGGCCTTGTGCACTTGACCATGTCATTAAGTTTTTTTTGCATTTCCTCATCCTAGGCTGAGGCTGGTCCCCTTCTTCTTCTCTTCCTATATTTACTTCATCGAAGTGTTAGAGGCAGATGTAAGGATCTTCAGTGTGCTCTTTCCAATGTGTTGTGTGTTGGTCTTAACTCTACCAGACATATGTCACGCTACTCGGTAATTGTCTAACTTGCCACTTGTCCCGATTTTTTTTACTGTGTATGTCGACTTTTCATAAACAAAAACTGTATTTCTGTAAGTGGCTGTTGCAGGGACCCCAGAACCTCTGTTTGCCCAGGGGCTCATAATGCTGTTAAGATGGCTATGGCCATCCCATAATTGACAGACCCTTTGCAAAGAGGCATATATTAGGATTTAACCATGCCATAGTTCAGCACAGGACAGATCAACTGACAGGAATTAGGTCATGGTTGTAATGTTTCCTCCATGAGGTTTAGAAATTTGACTGACAACGGACCCCAGCACAAACATTGGCTTGACTTTACCATTTTCAATTTTGCAGGTATTGAACCAAACTGTGAGAAGTACAGAGCGGCAGGTGGAAGTCATGGCAACTACACTTATCATGTTGACCCTGATGGCCCAGGTAAGATTTCTCATCTGCCTCTTTAGTCTTTGACTTCATGAGCCAGCAAGTTGTTGTTTTTTTTTTTAATTTCTTTTCAGGAACTACAACCTAAAGATTTGACACTTAGTAATTCTTTTTCTTCACTTAGTAATTCTTCTTCTTCTTCAATTTTATGCTGGCCAGCTTTACTTTCCAGTAAATTTTCTAATTACCATTCTTCTTTTTCTGCAGCTTTTGCCCTTTAACGGGCAGTTGGCACTTTGTACTGTGGGTTTACAGCTAGGCTGCGATACCTGTGCATTCAGCCCAACACACTCAATTTCAGCTAACTCTTATTTAGTCGCCTTTTACAACAGGTTGGTTAGGGGTCAGTGGGTCTATTTTTTTTGTCCCCTAAAATAGGGGCCTCTGAACCCCAATGAGGAGTAATCGCTTAAGATTCACCAACTTAGGAATTAAATGTTTATTTGCGTATTATCTCTTTCGGTCCTAAGCAATGCATGGTACGATGGCCTCTTCCCCATGAAAACCAACCATAGTGCAATATGTTCATATATATATATATATATATATATATATATATATATATATGTGTGTGTGTGTGTGTGTGTATATATGTATATATACATATATATACATATATATTTTACATTTGGTTAGAGTACACTAAAAAAAACCTGGCTTTCCCCCAGTAGCCACTTTTACTGTGTATTTAGTTTGTTTAAAAGTTCTATAGTTGAGAAACTTCGTAGTGAATGGTTCTCATTCTATGTGTCTGCTGCAAATAATATGGGGACTGAAAGAGTTATGGAACACCTCTGGAAATGATTTATAACTAATTTAACTGTCTTCTGGTACCGAAAGAGTTAAAAGAAATGAACAACACATTAAATCCCCACACAAAACTACTGGACATAGCTGTCTGCTCCTTACAACTAAAAATCAATATTTAAGAATAACATATGCCCCTAAAGCTAAAAGTAACACAAAACAAGAATCTCCTTTAAAAAAGTGCTTTTGTCTTTATCTCTGTGCAAATAATGGTTTCTACCTTGACCAAGAAAATATTTTTATCTCTACGAAGATAGTGATTAAAAAAAGTTGACAATTACCGCGACTTTTGCTGCATAGGCTGGGGAGGCTGAGGATTTTGGGCGACACGGCTAGTTCTGTTGCCACAGCCTGTACAGGTTGGGGTTTTTTAAATTGTAATTGGCCCTCCGACAGGAAACATTCATGATCTTACTGAAGATTTGAACCTGGGTCTCCCATATGAGAGTCCAGTGTTCTTGACCATTCAGCCTACCATTCCTCTATGAAGATAGTAAAGTTAGCCAAGATAGCAACCTCACCCCTATTGTGGCTGTGAGCTATTCGCTCCAGTTGCTTCTTCTCCTGAGGCAGCACTTTGAAGTCCAGAAACCAGGCCTCCAGCCAGGCCAGCACAAAGGAGATGATGATGAGGCAGTAGCTGAGGGGATTGCTGCTGCTCCTCGTGCCTTGAAACTGCAGACAATTAATTTACAAATAATAATTTACTCTTTTAAGAATCAACATCATAGCTCACTGGGCATACCCATAGGTGCTCTGTCTCCTGCAGCAAGTGTCTTAAGGTGTAGATGCTTACTGTTCCCTTAGCACATTCGTTATAAACTCATTGTTCTCTTCCTCTCATACGTCCTTCTTTGCCTGATCCACATCTAATTTACACATACAAACAACTGCAGCCACATCTTGGCTTCCTACGGACATTCCAGGTAACTGTCACACTAAACTGGGCTCAGTATACGCCAGAAACAAATGACAAAGTGGCTGAGTGGTTGCTGTGTCTGCCTCATCCTGAAAAGTTACAAGGTTTAAATCTGTTTATTTTCAACAGAATATTGTTTTTATTTTCTGGTGAGGACTATTTGTTAACATGTAACTTATATTCAATTTTTTCTTCACGTTCACTGGCTGAAAACTCCAGCAAAAAGTTCTGGTTGTTTGTCCCTCTCCAGACTTTACTCTTGTTCCAAAACCTGAGTATTGTGCGCATATTTATTTTACAGATCTATTTCATTTGTAAGCAGACTGTTGGTTCCTCGGACTTTGAAGGATGTCCCCATTTAGTAGTCTCCTACAACATGTTTGTTGAGGGGAGAGGGGAAGGTAAGGTGGCAGTGCATTCTTGTTTTCTTCACACAAGGGCCCCAGAACTCATATGGAGAATACTCCTGTCGTGTTGAAATAGATTTACAAGGCGTGTTTTTTAAGTAAGTCCTTGTATAAAAATTTTAATTTAACAAAATCTGTACTAGCTGTACCCGGCCACGCGTTGCTGTGGCATAGTTTGGCTAAAAGGAAAAGAAAGAAAATAGAAATCGCACGTGTCTAATACAATCATTGTCTGCTCAGACTTATAATTATAATGATAGTCTTTGACCCCCCCCCCCTCCCCCCCCCACCCCCCCCCCCCACCTAAATCCCCCCCCCCCCCCACCCCCCCCCCCCCCCCCCCCACAACTAAATCCACCTACTACCCTCTCCCTCATCAAAGGTTTTTGGAAAAGAAAGACAATGGAAATCGCACCTGTCTAATATAGTTAATGTCGCAATCATTCTCTGCACATTTATATAGAGATAGTCTGGTTTTCCAACGTTAGAAACACGCACCATATAATTGTGTCTTTATATTAGTGGTCGTTTAAATGGTGCTATTAGCACAGTAACAAAAGTGGTTATTTGGTTATCACATGCTAAAGCTGTTTTGTATTTTTATAGGAGACATAAGTAAAGCTACTACTGTACTTATAAATAACAAAGTTAGTCGTACAAAAATTAGAATAGTGAAGGTAGCGTTTAGTAAAATATAAACAATTTAAGTAAGTAATGAGAACTTAAAATCATGTGTAAAGCTCTTCAAGTTTTCTTAAAATTTCAGTCATTACCCTCTCCTCTCCCTCTCTTTCCACGCGACTACTGCTCCTCTCCCTCTTCGAAGGATTTGAAAAATCAATCACCTGGCGATATTTTCTTTTCTGTTGTAACTGACATTGACATCCCTGTCCATCCGGACTAAAATTGGGAGCAGGAATTGTAATAGGTAGTGAATGGGGCTAATGTAATATTTTACCGCATCATCCTTCAAGTACCAGTACAACTTCTACCACGACCACCACCACAGTAGCTAAAATAATGTCACTGCTATCTGTTTTACCATCGGATGTAGACAGGGAGTCGTGAGCCAGAAGATTTGGGCGCCGCATGGCTAGTGCTGTCGCCCGGACTGGTCAGGTTAGGATGTATGATTTCGCTCCCCCGACAGAAGAATGCCATAACCTTACCGGCGGTCTTCACATGAGAGCACTACGGTGTAAACCGCCCAACCACAACTACTACTGCTGCTTGCTACTTTGCATGTGGGTGGTAAAGGCAGTTTTTTTTTACTGTGACTTAAAGCGTCTCTTCAGTCAAAATCAGTTTGCCCCCCCCTTTGCCCCCCCCCCCCAATTCGACTAACTCTTTCCCTCATCGAAGTAGTTGAGACCGAGGGGAAAAAAAAACAATGAAAAGACAAAGCAATTAAAACAGGAAAAACACACCATAAGTTAGGAAATGAAACGCTTATGGTAAACAGCACAGCTTAAAATTCCAACGCAGATGATGAAATAATTAAAATCTAAATGAAAATAAATGGAAAGCTATGAAATTTCAGCGTAACCATGCAATCGAAAAGTTTAAAATGAAATCATAAGTATGTGAAATGGTCAAATTTAATTATCAACTGGTTTACCCACAAACCTGACCTTGTTTTTTTTTTTTTTTTTTTTTTTTTTAAATATATATCATTAAGGGCAATATGGCTAGTGCTGTCGCCACGACAGTGCAGGTGAGGATTTTATTTTAGCCCTAAGTAAAAAAAAAAAAAAAACTACTGCGGATTTGAACCCTGGTCTTCCTCTCAAGAGCCGAGTGTTCTAACCATTCGACCAAGCAACCACTCGATCGGAATAACGAAAAGAGAACATAACTATTTTAGATGTGTGTCTCTACTGCAGGGTCTTGATTATAACACAACTCAAAACAGCAGGCAATTGTTTTCTCATAGACAGATATTCCAAATATATTAATGAAACGGCACAACAAAAGAAATTGCACATGTCTAACACGGTTAATGTCGCAGTCAATGTCTGCGCAGACGTCGAGATAGTCCCTGATGCCCCCCCCCCCCCTCTTTTTCCCTACCAATCCATCGGCTACTTTTCAACTCATCGAAGGATGTTTGAAAAAAAAAAAAACAGAAAATAGAAATCGTGTCTAATATAGTTATTGTGGCAATCACTGCCTGCACAGATATAGATATAGTCTTGTTTGCTGTACCACGACCTACTCTATGTATTAGAGGAGGTTTGGCTGCACGGCGCATGCGCAATTACTAACGTGGCTATAATTAGAAATCACTAAAATTATAAATATTAGTTTCAAATATTATGGCTTAAATTGTGGTCACCTATCTCTAACAGTGACAGGTTGAATTTCAAACCATGATGGTTCAACATCCGGTATCAAAACAAACATATCCTGAAAATTTCAGCTAAATCGGTTAAGTAGTTTCCGAGTCTATAGGGGGCAAACAAACACACAAACATTGATTTTTATATATATAGTCATATATAAAAATGATTAATTGAAGCCAAAAATTAACCACACATTTACGTTATTTCTCAACATAGTCACCATTGACTTCAACACATTTTTGGTATCATGGCACCAGGTTCTTAATTCCAATGTCACAGAAGTCTGTCGCCAGCATCATTGTTATAGAGTTAGAATGACTCCAGCAGTTCAAATTAAAAAAGACCTCTATGCATCCTAAAATAAGACTGCAGAATAACTATCTGACAGTTAACCAATCGAATCATGGAAAACAGAACATGTGACACCATGATTGTTGATTCTATACAACAGCTAGACAACCTTTAAAGAGAGCTCAGTTCCTTCAGAAATACTCCGACCCTGACTCAGGGCCTGTAGCATGAGCCAGGAAGGACAGACTGCCAAACAGAAGGATGACGAAAGAGGCTTACAGTTCGTTTTGAACAAATGGTCCTGACTTTATGGCTACTGTTATTCTATGTCGATGTAGAAGCTCTTTAATGTTATCAATCCATATTCTCCTAGGAAAGCGTCTTGCTTTCACTTCAGATCTTTCCATGTATAGAATCTGCGTTGGTGGTTGTTCTGGCTGCATTCTTACGATATGACCCAACTATGTGATTTTCTGTTTCTCAATTAATTTCATGCCTTGTTTTGGTGTTCATACTTATGTTTGGATGTCTCAATAACGGTGTCAGTTGGCATATAAGCGCCCAGGCTCGCATTTTAAACCAAATAAACCTCTCACCGTGGATGTGTTTTTGTGCAGCTACGTGTGTGTATGTTTGTGTGTATATCTTTTTGTGTCTGGGTTGTATGTGTGTGTGTTTTAGAGCATTTGACTGTGTGTATAAGTGTGTATGAGTGTGTGTGTGTGTATATGAATGTATGTGTGTATGTATATGTGTGTGCGTGTTCTTATGTATGTTGATGTATGTGTGCATTGGGTGTGTATGTGTGTAAGTGAGTGAATGGGTTTAGGTGTGTAGGTGGGTGTGCGTGTTCACGCGCGAGCGTGCGCACATATTTTACCACCTATGCTTTTGTTTATGACTTGATATTCATAATATGCATATTATTACATGAAAATAACATGCTTTATTGATGAGATACAACTACTGTGTGAAAGATGGGAGTTTGGAAGGGCCGAATGTAAGACAGGCCTGCGTGCCTAATTTGTAACCCTTTGAAAATAAAGTTTCGTTCGTTCGTTTTGTATGTATGTATGTATGTATGTATGTATGTATGTATGTATGTAATCTCTTCTAAAGCAATACGCTGACAATATGTTCATAACAGATACTTCCACTGTTTTTTTGTTTTTTTTTAATTATATTTTTCCCGTTGGGGACTGCAGTCTGTTTGATTAACATTTCATCCAGCGTAGGGTTAAGAACAGTTTCCTAATTCCACCCTGGTCTGGCTGGCCCACTACAGTCAGAGGAAAGGCAAGACTGACAAATAACCAGATTACGACTAATACCATTGGTACTGGAACTCTGCGCTGGCTGCTGAAGATAACATATGGGAGTGCCCTGAGCGCTGTGATGTCAATTGTTGACTCAACTCCCAATACCAACATATGAGGGTTCCATCCAGCTGCAAATGATTTGGCAGCAAACTGTTTGGCATTGATTTTGACAATAGTGTGAGCAGCAGACTATCCAGAAATCAATGGTAAAATGCTGAATGTAAAATTGCCTAATAAAACCACAAACCAACAAATGCTGGGGTTAGCTATAAATGTCTTAGAAAAGACGTAAATTGTGGAGTATAGGTAGAGTTTTCAAACTGAAAAAAAAAAAGTTTAAAAAAAAAAGCAATTATATACATTTATTATGTGGTTCCCTGTGTGGGTTATGGGCTCC